TAAATATTTTTTTAAGAGAAGTGTGAGTCATTGCATTTCCTTTTGATAGATAAGCTAACACTGAAGTGCAAATTTTCGATAATAGTATTTTTCGTCATCGAAATTCTTGAAAAATACTATTGATCACTAGCTATCGAGCAAGAAATGATAAGCAATCAAAATCATAGAAGGTTGGGATATTGTGTTTTTTGTATGTGTAAAACTTGAATGTAAATATCTTATAATTTGCTAAAAGCTGCATAAATGCACCATATTGAAGCAATTCAAAGCCTGTTGTCGGAAATGCATTTCCCAAGAAAACTGAATTTTTTATCGATTTTTCTTCGATCTGTTTTCGTGTTAAATCATGAAAGTGCCGTATTCTCGGAAAAAATGTCTAAAACTCCACTTAATTTAGAAAAAAAATATTTTCCATAAAATTTCGCTACAAAGTCACCAAAGAAAAGAAAAAGCTATTTCCAATTGTATGTCCAGAAAAAATGCCTTTCAATTTGCCAACAAAAAACCCGTAAAAAATATTTTTTCAAGGATTCTTCCAGGGTCCTATAGTATCAGTCGGTTTTTCCAACAGATGTATACCCCCAGCCTTTTATGAGGGAGGTTCCGAAGCAGTTAGCCAATATTGAAAAATTCGTATCTGACCTAAGACTGATATAAATATTACAACGTGCCAGATTTGGACTATACAGACTTCTTCCTATACTTGAGGGTTTTGTTTTTCAAAATCTTGAACCTTATGTGGGGGAGGTGCCAGGAGAAATGGTCCGATTTCTACCATCTTTGTTATGAATCCTGGGAGGTACCAGAAAGAGTGGACCGATATATCACACCAGACCTTGGGTTAATAAAAATATTGCGTTTTTTATAAGAGTTATAATTATTTAAAATTTTGACCCTTTGTGAGGGAGTTACTTGATGGAGTGGACCGATGTTGCCCTTCTCCGAACTCGATCTAATTTTGATAATAATATTACGATGTACCAAGTTTGGACCAAATCGAAACGGTTGTAGATTAAAAGCCCCAAAAAAATTGGGTCCAAAACGCCAAAGGTCCTAAACCTTTACTGGTTGAGGTGAAAAAACTGTCACTCACCCGACAGCTGTTAAAATTATTCCAGTGATAGCTCATTATATTGTTTACAAGAGTACAAAAGCATTTTGGTGAGAATTTTCCAGAAAAAAGTTATTCGTGATGGAATTCAAGTGTGATTTCTTTATATTTGGCTGGAAAACCACAAGTGGCTATCATCAGAGTACTCCAGAATTTAAATGTGAATAAATCTTTCGTACCATCGCTCGTTGCCGTGATACTGGTAGCGTAGCCCGATGTCAAGGAAGTGGACGGGAGAAAACAGTAACATCAGCAAAAATGGTTCGAAAACCAAGACGAAACCCGCGTCGCAGTGGCCGAAAAATGGCTCTTGAGCTGAACATATCGCAATATTCCATTCGGCAAATATTGAAAAATGAGCTCGGGGAAAAACCATTGAAATTCCAAAAAGTGTAAGAACTTACACCGCAACAGAAGAAAAAAGAGCTAAAGAGTTGCTTCGCTTGGCCAAAAGTGGTGAACTGCCGAATTTGGGTTTCTACGAGGAGAAAACATTCGTTGTCCAGCAATTTGTAAACTAAACAAACAAAATGATCGTGTTAACTTGCCAAAGAGGTCAGATGAAAATGTGCACTCTCGGTTGGCCACCAGAACTCAAGCGCCGGCCATGGTGATGGAATGGGCCGCCATAACAGCCGATGGTCGCTTTCCGCTCGTATTAATCGACTGTGGCATCAGAATAAATGCTGAATATTAACGCGAAAATATTATGGAGGGTGTATTAAAGCCTTCCTCACGCAAACATTTTGGACGCAGACCTTGGAGATTCCAACAGGACTCACCACCATCGCACTCAGCACGCGCCACCCAAGAATGGTTACAAAATGAGGTTTCTCGCTATATTTCTAGCGCACAATGGCCACCAAAATCTCCGGATACCAATCCGTTGGACTATTGTGTCTGGAGTTTTTTGAAAAGCAAGGTTAGCACTAAAAAATGCCAAAGTGTCGATAACCTCAAGCAAGCGCTTCTCCGGGAATGGGCCAAAATACGGCAGAGTAACATTCAGGCAGCGTGCGACGGTTTCATTGGCCTTTTAAAGGCCATAATTCGTGCCAAAGATGACCAATTCGAACAAATCTAAACTTTTTCTAAAATTTGATGCTAATTCCGACATTTTTGCTTTCATTCAATAAAATTAAAAAAAAAAATAAAAATTATGGCTTTTGACTTTGTTCCAGTTTTTTTTATCTTACCCTGTATATTCCGTATATTGATGATTTTAGTGACATTATCAACCAGAATTGTTTCTAATTTCGTATTTGAAGTGCCTGTGGATACTACAGCCTGTAACAGAAAATGTTTTGCCATATGGCATAGAATAACCTAAAGGGTTAACTGCTCATATAAACCAGAACATAGATTTGCTCGTTTTAGGAGTAGATTTGCTCGTCTTGGGAGTGAAATATGCTCGCGAGAGGGATTGCTTGAATTTTGCTTCCACTCAATAACGAGCCAGGCCAGCTCGCCGTTATTCAAGCGAAATCGGAAAAATTTTTCTCCTGTTTTGTTCTTTCTACACGCCAGGAGAGTTCCCGCTCGACTTCGAGTAAATTTCACTCTTTACTCGAATTTGACCAACATCCAGCTAGTTTCATCGTTTACTGGAATTCGAGCGAGTTTCTCGAAGACCTATTTAAAAGGCCAGGGTATAAGAAATAATAAGTGAAGAAGAAGCTAAGTTCGGCCGGACTTTCAAGACCCTCCACCATTTGGAAGAAACTTGAAAAAATTCAACAAATTACGAAAACTATCATTAAATGATGACCGAAGTCGTAGGCCTGCATAAATTATTTGTTGTCATAGGCTGTAGTACCCATTCAGATCTTCAAATACGAAGTTTGGAACAATTATGGCGAATAATGTTGCTAAAATCATCAAAATATCGAATGAAGGGAGGTACGGTTATATGGGGGCGTATGCGACGTGGAACGGACAAATACGAAGTTTGAAACAATTCCGGCGGATAATGTCGCTAAAATCATCAAAATACCTAATGAATGGAGGTACCGTTATATGGGGGGCTATACGAAAACGTGAACCGACATAGCCCATTTACGAACTTAACCTTCCTACTGACAATGGATATATATTTGGAGGGTCTATCATGAATTTTTGAGGAGTTACAAACAGAATGACAAAGCTAATATACCCTCAATAGAATGGTGGAGGGTATAAAAATGGCGCAGGGTCGAAGCGGGGCTTTCATTTACGCCGAAACCTTACATGAGAATTGGTTAAGGGGTTGAAACTTTATTGTGGTTGTTATAATTTTTTATTATGTCTTTATTCATAATTTTTGTTCTGAATTTATTGCCTAAAATTGCCTTCAAGTCTACTCACTCTCCCGTTGTTTACCTTTGTTGAGCTTGAGTAAATTTCGCTTGGTTTTGCTAGATAAATTTACATTTATCTTCACCGACAACTTATATCTTATCTAAAGGCAGCGGTGCTCAAAACCGTGTTCTAGAACATGAAGAGAAAAAAGAGATAATTTAAGAGAAAATTAAAATTTTGTTTTTCTTTATATTTTACGGTTCTATTTAATTGTTTTTAAACACGAATGTTTGCCAAAATAATTTATAAAGCGAATGGATAAAAAATATTTGTATAAATAATAACTTAACACTGCTTTGTTCTTGATTTAAATAAGCAAAGAGAAATTTGACTAAAAAGATATATTTCTTCTTGAGCACCGCTGCTAAAGGCCAACCCAACAAAATATATCCTCCTAACAATTATTTTTCAAAATAACTTTTTGGTTCGAGCGGTCACTAGACAACTTGACACCATCATGTCCTCCTGACATCATAGAATGGATTTCAAGGTATTTTCGCCTAATACCAACACATTAGCACTCATACGCGGCGCTGAAGACGATGATGAATCAATGCAAATATTTGTACGAACATGTAGTCAACACAATCAAAAAACCAAAAAACACGCAATCTAAATTCTTATCAAAAAATTAAATCATTCATTAAAAAAAAGAAACACCATAAAACGAAAGCAAATTCCACGAAGAAAAAAGAAAACAAAAAGAAATTGTCATTTATAATAAAATATTTACTTTGCAGTGTGAAATAGTTATTAAGAGAATTGAAATCAGGGAGAAAAACATTTTATTTGAAATTTTAATTAAGAAGTTAAGAGTACCTCACAAAGTAAACAGAGAGGTAACCGCAAGAACAAATCATTTCATTTATTTTCAAAGAATAAACCCCACAAACAAAGACAATACACTGCAGTGAGGGGGAGAGTGAAATCCAACGGCATTAAGAGAAGCAGAGAACCCCATCGACATTGCAGAGAACAAGAGTAAACAACACAAACGAAAGAGCGTCAAATAAAGGGGAGCCCTTATCAACATTCATTTGTGGCAGAGCACCAAAACACCATACCTGTTTGTTTGAGAGTGTGCGATCATTGTATTTTATTTAAGAGAGGCAGAGAGCGAGAGTACCACATTAAAGAGCCATAATGTATGGTTCACGTAATTTACGCAACAATGGCTCTCTGCAGAGTGGCCCCAATAGTGGCAGCGTTAATCAAAGTCCCCACAACAACAATGACAACAAAGCCGGTCGTTATGGTATTGGTGGTGACAATAGCAATAACAATAACAACAACACTGTAATGACAACGGCTCTAACAACAATGAATAACAGTGGTGGAATTCATTTGCCCAATGCAAATACAACACAGCCTTTTACTGGTGGCGGCGGTGGTGGTTTTGCTTTTATGGGAGCAGCAGCAGGGCAGCAGCAACAACAACAAAAGCTAACGCCGTCACAACGTACCAACATTAATCGCAACTGTGGTAGTAGTGGTGGAGCTATAACCACGACGTCCACACCAATAGCAGCAGCAGCTACAACGGCAGCGGCGACATCAGCAAAGCCAGTAAATTCTCCGTTTGTTGGACAAACGCATTCAGTTGAAGGTGGATCGCGTGCGCAGACGGTTGATATTAATAGTCCGATACAAAGAAGTCAGAAAAATAAACACCAGCAACAACAGCAAACGTCACCCGAATTTGCAACGGCAATCAATCAATTGAAAGAGCAATTTTGCCAAATAAATTTAAAGCAAACGCCGCAAACGAACGGTGTCGTCTCCTCCGCCGCTCCGTTGTCGTACGTCGCGCCAACAAATAGTCATCACACGAATCTTTTGCATAATAATTGTGCTGCAACTTCGAACCCCGTAACAACAAATTCGGCAATTGTTGCTGGTCAACAACAACAACTACAACAAGAACAACGAAATTTTTACAATAATTTGCCTCAAACGAATTTTACGAAAAGTGATTTTCCAACAACAAATAGTGAATTGAAATCTGTACAACAACAGCAGCAACAACAACCAACAAATTGTCACAACAAAAATAATACGAATAGTAGTGGTGTAGTGAAAACAACAACTTTGAATTTGCCCGTGACATCATACGCTGCCACACAACAACAACAGCAACTCCATCCACAAGAGTATCCTGTTGAACAAATTTATTACACCAACAACAACAACACCAGTGACAACACTGATACCTACACATACACATATAATCCACAGGTGGGTGTTCTTTTTCGTTTCGCTTTTTTGTTTGCTTTTTGTTCTTTTGGCTTCGCATTGCATTTGACAGCCGCGTGAAGTGCTGCAAGAAACGCCAGAATAACATTCCAGCGGTGTTGACATTTCTCTTGGAATTTTCAATTTTGTTTACATTTCAATTCAATGTTTATGGGTAGGATAGGGTGGGTCAAATGCTGAGAATGATATTTTGGAGTGTTTGATTAAAACTTTGAAATGGGGTTTTCAAATTTTGAAATGAATTGAAACAAATCAAAAATATGAAAAATTCGTTTGGAATTCTATTTTTCCTACGAATCCACTTTCGTATCGTCACCGAGAAGCAGGCATTTAATGGCTATGCAAATGGCTTTAAAATTGAACCAAAATACCCTTCGACCCCAAATCAAATTTTTCAATATTTACAGGAAAAAACCAGTACATTTGAGAGTTGAACTTAAAGTAGAAGCTAATCGCAAAGTGACCTAAATAAAGGGACACGATCCCTTCTTTGACACAATTTTTTTTTGGAAATTTTCAAATTAAGCTTCCAAGGAATCTTTGCGTTTTAGGTATGTAGTGTCTTCGGCAATATTGTAGATAACAAGTAAAAAAGCTGTAAGTTCGGCCGGGCCGACCTTTTAATACCCTCCACTATTTGGTACAAATTTAGCAATTTCCAAAAAAATAAAATCCGTTAAAAATTCTGTTAAAATTTTAAAAATACCGAATGCCTATACGACGTCGTGGACCTGCATAGGCAACTTTTGTCATATGCGAAACTTGAAGAAAAATCTGTTTATAATGTTGCTAAAATCATCAAAATACCGAATATAGGGGGTACTATTATTTGGGGGGCTATACGAAGACGTGGACCTGCACAGACAATTTTCTGGCATGGGATGAAGTATCTATTACGAACTTCACATGCGAAGTTTGAAACAATTCCGGTAAATAATGTCGCTAAAATCATCAAAATACCGAATATCGGGGGGTACGGTATATGGGGGCTATACGAAGACGTGGACCTACATGGCTCATTTTCTGTTTTATGCTGCACTATCTATTACGAACTTCAAATACCAAATTTGGAACGATTCCGTTAAATAATGTCGCTAAAATCATCCAAATACCGAATATCGGGGGGTACCGTTATATGGGGGCTATAGGAAGACGTGGACCTACATGGTTAATTTTTTGACTTAAGATGTAGTATCCATTACGAACTGCAAATGCCAAATTTGAAACGATTTCGTTAAATAATGTAGCTAAAATCATCAAAATACCGAATATCGGGGGAGTACCGTTATGTGGGGGCTTTATGAAGACGTGAACCTGCACAGATAATTTTCTGTCTTAGGCTGTAGTATCCATTACGAACTTCAAATACCAAATTCGAAACAATTCCGGTGAATAATGCCGAATATCGGGAGGTACCATCATATGGGGGCTATATAATAACTTGGACATACATGGCCCATTTACGAACTTAACCTGCCTACTGGCAAAATATACATGTGTGCAAAATTTTAGCCTTCTATCTCAATTTGTTCAAAAGATAGCGTGATTACAACAGACAGACAGACAGACGGACATGACTAAATCATCTTAGAATTTTACGCTGATCAAAAATATATATAGTTTGTTGGGTCTGACATGACTATTTCGAGGAGTTACAAACGGAATGACAAAATTAATATACCCTCCATAGTATGGTGGAGGGTATAAAAATACGAGAAATATTTTGGTCGAAAATTTTAACCCTCTTTTTTCAAAATATAGTTCAAAACTCCCTTTAAACGGGATCGTAGCTGGTCAAAATATTCTACAGAATGATTTGTCATAAGATCTATCCCAAGGATTTCTGATCACTTTTTTCGCGGTCTTTGTTAGAGTTGATGCATAACATAACCTTTCGTTTTAGACAGAAGGTGTCAAAAAAAGAAATATTCTTCACAAATTCATGTATCTAGGTATAGTAGAAAGACAGTTAAAAGGCATTAGTCAGTATCGGTCTAATTCTTGACCCTCTATGGAGTAGGTTTCAAAGGAATGGACCAATATTGTCCATTTCGTATCGGACTTAAATAAATATGATGTAAATATTGCGACGTGCCCGAGATATGTGATAATTTTTAGGCAAATGTTAAGCTGCTCGTGAGGTGCCAGATATAGTAGACCGAAGTATTCCATTGTAATGCTTTATCTAACACAGATAAAAATATTGAAATGGGTAAAAACAGCAAGTTATAATCGAATTGTGTGTCTAACCATTCACATCATATGATGTGGTACCAAATATAGTACATTTTAGTACTTTTCGTACACTTACGGTGCGAATTACCAAAAGTACATTGATACATTCATCACACCCTCCATAAGTGACCCTCTTTCCAATTTTAAGTTCTAGCTCTACTGGTTCGTCAAATACAAAGGGTGCTATATTTAGTAGCTTCTAGTACTTTTCGTGACGTTCTAGTGCGAATTTTCTGAAAACTTCGGACCAAGAGTGATCCTCATCCAAAATTTCAAGAATCTAGCTTCAGCCATTTCGTCTAGTCCTTGATGAAACGTAAAGTCAGTCAGTCAATTACTACACCCATTTGTATACCCTCCACCATTCTAGGGGGGGTATATTAGCTTTGTCATTCCGTTTGTAACTCATCGGAATATTCATGACACAAAGGCTAAAATTTTGCACAACTGTGTATTTTCCCAGTAGGCAGGTCCATGTTTTCATATAGCTCCCATATAACTGTACCATCCGATATTCGGTCTTTTGATGATTTTAGCTACATTATTCACCCGAATTGTTTCAAATTTCGTATTCGAAGTTTGTAATGGGTACTACAACATATGCCTAAGAATTTAGTATGCAGGTCCAGGTCTTCGCATAGCCGCAATATAACGGTATCTCCCTTTATTCGATATTTTGATGATTTTAGCGACATTATTCGTCGGAATTGTTTCAAATTCCATATTTGGGATCTTAATGGGTACTACAGCCTTAAAACTAAAAAAATACTTATGCAGGTCCACGTCTTTGTATGGCCTCCGAATAAAGTTCAGTATTTTTTTAAAATTTTCAAGTTTCTTCCAAATGGTGGAGGGTATTAAAAGTTCGCCCCGGCCGAGCTTATTTGTTTTGTTACTTGTTATTAATGGATTTACTTTGGCAAATTCCATGCTCTTGCTCTGGTTAGTGTTAGATATATAAGGTTTCTTTTGCGGTACTTACCCATGTAAATCATTTACTTACTTACTCATTTACTTGCTGATTTTCACTGAGAGTCGCTTTTGACGCCATTTCACAGGCGAAATCCCCACAGGAATTATTTTTAATAATTATTAATTTTTACAATGTTTACTTCCAACAATTTTCCCAATATCTCGGAAAGATTTTCTATCATCTACAGGGTGAGATAAAAAAAACTGCAACAAAGTCAAACGCCATAATTTTTACATTTTTTTTAAAATTTCATTGAATTAAAGCAAAAACTGTCGTAAATAGCATCAAATTTTAGAATAAGTTTATATTTGTTCGAATTGGTCACCTTTGGCACGAATTATGGTCTTCAAACGGCCAATAAAAACCGTCACTCGCTGCCCTAATGTTTCTCTGCGGTATTTTGGTCTATTCCCGGCGAAGAGCTTGCTTGAGGTGATCGACACTTTGGTAATTTTTAGTGCCAACCTTGCTTTCCAAAATACTCCAGATACAATAGTCGAACGGATTGGTATCCGGAGATATTGGTGGCCATTGTGCGCTGGAAATGAAGCGAGGAACCACATTTTGTAACCATTCTTGGGTAGAACGTGCTAAGTGCGATGGTGCTTGAGTCCTGTTGGAATGTCCAAAGTCTGTGGCCAAAATGTTTGCGTGCCCAAGGCTTTAATAAACCCTCCAGAATATTTTTGTGATAATATTTGGCACTTATTCTGATGCCACGGTCGATTAATACGAGCGGAGAGCGACTATCGGCTGTTATGGCGGCCCATCACCATGGCCGGCGCTTGATTTCTGGTGGCCAACCTAGGTGAACATTTTCAGCTCTTTGGCAAGTAAACACGATAATTTTGTTTCTTTGCAAACTGCCGGACAACGAATGTTTTCTCATCAGAGAAAACCAAATTCGGCAGTTCACCACGGCCAAGCCAAGCAACTCTTCAGCCCTTTCGAGTCTATTTTCTTTTCATTGCGGTGTAAGTTCTTGCACTTTTTGGAATTTCAATGGCTTTACCCCGAGCTCATTTTTAATATTTGCCGAATGGTACTTTTACACTGATTCCGGGAAACTATTTTTTCTTGGGGGACGGACCTGAATCCGGACCCTAGAGCTTTGACTGGAAAGTCCGATTTCAAGACCCGTATCCACTTACCCTACGCGAAATAAAGTTTTTTTTATTGAAAACATAATTTTAATGAGCTGGTTAGAATCGGGTTATGCGGCTGGAAAGAACCATATCTATCTAGCATTTTGGAAAGGTAAGAGTGTCAGCTTCAATTTGGCATCCATTTTGTTGACCCCCTATTATGGGCTCTTTTGCGACTTTTTTGGATTTTTTGCGACTTTGTCTAAAATCGGGTAAAAATCTGAGGGTCCGGGTCCTTCGGGTTTTGGTATGATTTAAGGTATTTTGAATGTTTTAGTCATTATTTCAAATCAAATTTACTATAAATTTGGAATATGTGTTCCCAGTATGTAGGCAACATCCTTGCAGGGAACTGTACATATGCCCAAATTTTATAGACCCCATGTAACTGTACAGGGTTGTCCATATTTGACGGACCCATCTGGCAACGCCATAACTTTTGACAGAGATGTCACATCGCTTAATGACATACCGCGTTTGAAGCGTCAGACCATGAAACAATACACGCCACGCGAGCGCTCTGAAATAGTTGAAATTTACATTCAACAGAAGAAGTCAATTGTGAAAAGTCAACGTGCTTTTAAAACATTAAAAAATGTGAGAAGTGCGCCTTCTAAGAACACTATTAA